GTGTGTGTGTGTGTGTGTGTGTGTGCCTGTGATAGTGTGTCTGTGTGTAAAATGTATTGATATGTATATATTGCATTGTGGGGACCAAGTTTCCCCAAAGTGTGATAAAAACCTGTTATTTTGACGTTGTGGAGACCATTTTTTCGGTCCCCACAAGGGGAAATTTTATAAAAATCCATGAATGCAATCCAAAAACTAAAAATACCAAAAGTCCCGTATTTTGTTTTGGTACTTTTGGTTAAGGTTGTAAATGAATGGACGGTCCCCACAAAGATATGAATACAAACAGGTGTATTTTTCTCTATGTGTGTATACCACTCTCTCTCTCTGTACCTCTCTCCCTCTTTCACTCAACCTCTGTATGTGTGTGTATGTGTGTGTGTGTGCATACCTCTGTATGTGTATGTGTGTGTGTGTGTGTGTGTTTATGTGTGTGTGTGTGCATACCTGTGTGTGTGTGTGTCTCTCTCTCTCCATCTCTCCCTGTGTTTTGTGCTTCCTGCGTGTCTGTGTGCCTGCGCACATTGCAGGACAGCTGCCATGCTCCTTCAGGCGCCTGGCTTCCAGCCAATCAGAGCTTGTGAAATCTGTGCCGCTGCAGTTCAGTGTGTCAGACGTGGGTGGCGCTCAGCCTGGCCACTGCACTCGCTGTGCTGCGGGCCGAAGGCAGCTCATGGGCCTCCCTCCCGCATGGGAGCGTACAGAAGCGCAGAACAAGAGCAGAATATTACAGCGGCACATCAATGTGGCTAAACTCTCACTTCTGTTTTTAAATAATCTTCTGTAAAACTGATCACAGGAGCAAAACTCTGCTTCCCTGTGATTTTAATTAATGTTTTAATTACCATAAAAAAGAAACACAAACGTTCTCTTTGGGAATTTCTGCAACACTAGGCAAAATGCCCCAATTTTGTGCATAATTAGCTGCATGCTCTGTGCAGTTTTCCCGTTGCCTTGTGGGACGGTGCAGACTCCACCCACGATGGGTCTTTGCATGATACAGACACTTGTCTTCCAGAGGCTGGGGTTCAGTCAGACACACGTGTGCCTTGGCAGGACATACAGGTTGCCAGCTTCCGGTGATGATGCTGATGATGACTGACATGATGATCCAATACTGCTTTAGTGACAAAGATGCTGAAGACTTCAAAGCTTTGGGGCAGCCTTTGGGGGCTTTTGCCCCCAGCTATGATTCACAGTGTAGCATGGAGATGACGTTACAAATAACTCTGCAGTTACATCACACCAATTATTTTACTTTCAGCCAATGTCTGTTTTTACCCAGCTGTTGCACTATTTCTATTTTTATAAAACATTATTGTTTACTGAGTCAATAAAGCCAAGCTATTAACTACTGTGCCCCCTGTTGGTCAGCAGGAGGCATAAGTACAGCACAGAGCATTCCATGAAATATAGCCTCAGTACACAATGTTCACCCTCACAGAACCACACAGCCAATCACATCACTTCCCAGGGATCAGGAAACCTGTTCCAGTACTTCAGTTAATCTGTGGCTTGGGGGTGGGGGGGGCAAAGCTGTAATTTCCTAGTGTCCCAAAATAGGCCAATGAGAGATTGCAAAGTTATGCTGAAACTTTTACTTTAATGGCACTCATGAAACAGTCTTGGAAAAAGCTACAGATGTAGTGAGGAAAGGCTCGTGTAAGGAAATTGTCATTCGCTGTCACTTCAGATGCTAGGAAAACCCGGATACTGTCCCCTGCAAAAGCGCCTCCACTAAGCTGCACTAGAGGCCCCAGTGCGCACAAAGGCCAAGGGCCTCTTTTAGCTGGAAAACACACCATTGTTTGTGTGTCTTTTTTTACAACGAGCCACGGAGGGAAGCCAATCCAGGTTAGTTAGATCAGTCCTTGGCTAGTAGTTCTGCATATGCATCCATCCATGCATCCATCTATCCATCCAACCATCATCCACAACCACTTATCTGGGGGGAGGGGGGGTTGGAGCTTATCCCAGAAATGACACAAGACACGGGATCCTCTAGATCTGATGGTTCTGAGTCACCATTGAATCTATGTATTTAAATTAATCTTTTAATCTATAACAGGATGGATGCAAGCTTCTTTACCCACAGTTTTCTCATAGGGCATAATTTCTGTTTGTTTAGTGAATTTATTATTCATGATATACGGCTGCCCTCGTTCGTTCACCATAGATAAAAACAGTGGCTGTTCCCTCTGTTTTGCTGTCCTAAAATGAATGTGGGCAGATGCATGTCTTGGGGTTAATGTTGTTTTATGCTAAGTATTGTTATTCAGAGACATTGTGCCGGCAATCGCTTAAGTTACTGTAAAGAATAATCTATACGGATTACGCATTTAATCGTCAAAGCATATCATTCTTTAATAAGCCACTAACAGCATGAATTCTTCTCATTAATGCTGTTTATTTAAAACAGTCATATTTTCAAAATGAGCACAATAAAACAATAAAAGGAAACGTGAGCCGAGCTTTGGGCCTTTGTTAAGAAGATTACCTAAGTCTGGTTACGGTGGCGCCCCCTATCGGTGGCTTGAACTACCCTGAGCCGGCTCAGATCACATTGTAATGTGCATGCTCTTATACACAGAACAGGGCCAGGGAACTGGGAATATCCTCAAATTAAGTCAAAAAGGTTGCGTGGAACCAGAAGTAATTAAATCGGTATTTTATTAAAATAAATCGTGTGCCGTATTCTCGTTGGTCTAATGCTGGCTTCTGCTTTATTTCCCCCCCCCCCCCTGTTGTGTTGCTGTTAATGAGACAGGTCAAGCTGCTTTACAATCCCAAGAGCCAGCGGCTGTGTAAGTGATGGTTTTATTTGTTCTGTAATGTACGAGCCACAGAGATGTACATGGAGCACACGTGCGAATCCCATGTGCCTGCTAAGGTAAGCTAACCGAACTAGGCTTTAAGTGCTCCTCGTGGGGGTTTGGCTGACCTGACTGCCCAGTGTTCGCCTTGTGTGAATGTGCAAGTGCCCCAGACAAGCCAAGCCTCCGGGACCTGTCCTGGCCCGGCGATCAGCGGTTAATGCGGAGGTGCGGGGACCGAGGAAGGACAGGCAACGAGGGAATAAGGCATCCTGTCAATAAAACTGGCCAGTAAAAGCACGGGATGAAAACAATGATCATTAAGTAATTCTCATTAAAAACAAAAAAAATGTTAATAATTATAATGTACATATTTTTAAATAACCACGAATAGTGTGCAAATTAAGATTCGTCGCCTTGATCGCTGAACTGTATTTTGAAACGAAGAAATTTTGGACACATGCTTTCTTTAGAATAAGCTAATGAGAAAATGAGTGTCCAGATGTTTTGGACACAGATTTTGTGTTACAGCGGTAATGCGATTATACAAAAACAGGGAGAATATTAACAAAAACCGCTCCGTCCCACATAACTGAGTTTAAAGACGTCCCCATTAGCATACCTATTGTAGCGTGGGACAGAGGTGACAAAGCAAGTGCTTTCCGTTTAAATGATTCTGAATTGGGCTGAAATTTCTTTTGTTACCGAAGCGGCTACCCTTCCCCCATCTAGCGCCGCACCCCCAGCCCACGGCCATATCGCACGTTCTCAAAGTAATGATATATCCCCAAAAAGCTACATCAATGGCAAAAAAATGTAAAATACACATATGGCTAATTGTCGTACGCTTCAGGAACTTGTTTAATGGCTTTTTGAAAATGTACAGCTCTGAATTGCATGTAAGCAGCCCTTCGGTCATTTTTGTCTGTAAACACCAATAGCAGCGTACCATCATTATTATTGCACTGCTGTTATTGTGGCTGCCGTTGCACTGAAATGTATTACACTGGCAAACATGAAACTTGACCCAGGTGTGCGCAGTCGTTAAAATGTTTATTTCATTTATTTTAGGATAACCTTAAGCCTATATTATTCCGGACATTACTCAAGTAAACAGCGGTCGGGTCCCAAAAGACAGCATCGCCATTCAGACGGAGAAAATACATCACTTTGCTGCCTAAAATTAAATTCGCCCTGGATGTTCTCTGCCCAGCGGCTTAGTGTCTGGTAAGGAACATACGGGCAGCCGACTACGGCCAGCTGCCAGACAAGCCCGGGTGTCCCGAGGATGTTCCCACTGTCCGGGAACCTCAATTACCTCGGAGCTGTTTCACGTGGCTTTGCGAGAGCGAAGGAAGCAGCTGCTTAGATGGGCGAGTCTGTCCAAGTACGCGCTCATTAAACGAATCGTTAAAGGACTCATATTTATATACATCTGGATCTGAGGAATTTTGCCACTTTTCGTTCTCAAAAAACCGAGGACAGACGGTGAGAGGATGTTGAGGGTGAATAGAAACAATACAGTACAAAAAGATCACTAGTCATTAGAATGTAAATACATTAGGGTTGTAATTAATTAAGCACGTGGTTATACCAATTGGCTATCAGTTATTGAATACATAGGGGTGACAGATTTTACATATTCCCGGTTAATATAATTGCTTAAACTAACAAATGTATAGGCGTGTTATTATTGTAATTGTTGAAGCAGCGTACGAAACTGACAATTTGTCACAATTTTTCCTTATTAAATGTAATAATTTGATGAAATTCTTCACTGGACCTGAAATTAATATGATCTAATATTTCCAAACCTTTTGTGCTTTTTTTATTACCATTTGAGGAATTGGGAAAAACGCTCATTGATTAGTCAGGGTTGTTGGTATATGATTCTAAATTTGACAACTGTGTCATGCTTACCAGCCATTTCTCGTAATTCACAGATCAACTGCGCAGTAATATCGAGGACCGTCATCACATAAGTTCACTCCACACTCAAGCAGGAGTCTGGGGGTCATTGTTCATGGGACAACAAAGAAAGCAGTCTGACTTAAGAGGCCGAGTGTTCGGCTCCGCCCAAGCGGCGCCACTGACCAATCGCGCTCCGTCTATGCAAACGCGGACTGCGCTGCTCCGCCCCTTCCCGGCGTGTGACGTCACCCCCACATATTGCCCAGCAGTGCTGTCTGTCTGCAGCAAATCAGACAGAGAGAGGAAAGACCGGAGAGAGGCGGGGAGGGGCCGCTCGGAGGGACACAGCCGCTGCCGGCATTCCTGCGATCCGCAACTTCGGAGTGTCCGTCTTCACCGTCCCGTCTGCGCCCTGGGAGGTGGCTGCCGTCTATGCCTCCCGGACTGCATTGATCGCTGCCTGCTCGGAGGGGAGAAGCGCTCGTCCTGCACCGCTGGCCCGAATCCGCTTCCCCGTCCTCCCGTACTGACCCTACCCTCCTTCCTCGGTTCTCCCCCCTCCCTCCCTTTGTTTGATCTTCCTGGTCCCCGAGACTGCAAACGCATCGAAGATGCCCAGTTCGCTGTTCGCCGACATGGAGAGGAACGGGAGCAACCAGGGAGACACCCTGGACGACCAAAGAGCCCTGCAGATAGCACTGGACCAGCTCTCACTGCTCGACCTGGACAACGATGACAGCTCCATGTACGACAACGAGCCGAGGAAAAAGAGCGTGAACATGACCGAGTGCGTTCCGGTGCCCAGTTCGGAGCATGTAGCCGAAATCGTGGGGAGACAAGGTGCGTATTCTGTAATGCTGATTTTGTGCCGGGACGTTAATGTGCAGTTAGGGATGCAGCGCTCCGTCGGCACGAATAACTGCGTGTAATAGTTAATGATTTGTGCGCAGGATCCGTTCATGCTGGGGAGGGGGGGCAAAGGCGAAAAGAGAAACACTCGTAATAGGGCTCGGAGGAAGAAAAAACAGCGTCAGCCGGGGCGCAGAATAGCTACGGGACACTGGCACTCCCCTGCCATATTGCATCGCCGTGTCCCACTTACTAGACCGCTTAGCATTAATAGTTCATTCAGACTTATAGTGTTTCCTCCCACTTGCTGTTTTCGGACTTTTATAATAAAACTGGCCGACTGGTGCCCCGCTAGATGAACGGGTCAGCCCGTCTAAGCTATAAAAAAGCAGCCTGCATTCTGCAGCAGCCGCCGAACTGTCCTGATGGGAAGACTGTCAACTTTTCGTTATGCGATGGCTTGCACACGCCTGGATGTTTTCTGTGTTTTTTCCCGTGGCGATGCCAGCGAAGGTGACACATGGCTGGCTGCTGCACGTAATGTTTTTGCGCGCCGCATCTTGACAACTGCGACTGATTAGACCCGCCCGCATGGCGATCCCTCTAATCGGTCAGTTGAAAATTTAATTTAGTCGTGGTGCAAAGTCCCGGGGGCTATTTATAAGAACCCTATATTGAGTGCCCACCCCTTCGTTCTAGGCTGCAAAATCAAAGCCCTGCGAGCAAAGACCAACACCTACATCAAGACCCCTGTGCGTGGGGAGGAGCCGGTCTTCGTGGTGACTGGCAGAAGGGAGGACGTAGCCATGGCCAGGCGGGAGATCATCTCAGCTGCAGAACACTTCTCCATGATCCGAGCCTCCAGGAACAAGAACGGCGGCGTCAACGGCACTGGCACCTTGCCCGGGCCTCCCAGTCTGCCGGGCCAAACCACCATCCAGGTGCGGGTGCCCTACCGGGTGGTGGGCCTGGTAGTTGGACCCAAGGGGGCCACCATCAAGCGCATCCAGCAGCAGACGCATACCTACATTGTGACGCCGAGCCGTGACAAGGAGCCAGTCTTCGAGGTGACGGGCATGCCCGAGAATGTGGACCGGGCGCGGGAGGAGATCGAGGCCCACATCGCCGTCCGCACCGGCGGTCTCGTTGAGCTGGCCGACGACAATGACTTCCACGCCAACGGCACCGATGTGGGCTTCGAGTTGCAGGGCCATGCCGGCCTCTGGGGGCGCCCTTCCGCCACACGCAAGCCCTTCTCCAGCTACCGCAACGACAGCTCCAGTTCCCTGGGCAGCGCATCCACCGATTCCTACTTTGGTACTGGCAGCGGCTCGCGGTTAGCCGACTACAGCCCCCCCAGCCCAGAGCTCAGCTACACGGCCACTACCAACGGCAACAACAACAACAACCCCTCTATCAACAGCCAAGCCGTCAACGGCAACGGATTTGCATACGCCGGCGATGTGGTCTCCCCCGACTCTGCTGCCGAGTCGCCGCCGGGCTTCGATCCCACCCCCACCCCACCTGGTCTTGTGTGGTCACAGTACGACCGTACCAACGGGCCCTCCTCCAGCCCCACGGCAGCCATCTTTCCCTCAGCCGGCGATGGCGGCGTCTTGGCAAACCCTAGGCGTGCCAGTGGCGCTGCCCCCCCAACCCAACCCCAGCTGACACCACCACTGCACCCGCTGGCCCGCCGGGTACGCAGTGATCCTGGGGGCGGCGCACTGAGCCTCCCTGGCTACGGCCCTGCCTCCGGATCGCTGCCCAGCGTCCCGTCCGACTCATCGGCCTCGTCGACGTCCAGCTGCTCGTCGGGCACCAGCAGGAAGGGCAGCCGGGACTGTTCAGTCTGCTTCGAGAGTGAGGTTATCGCCGCCCTTGTGCCCTGTGGCCACAACCTCTTCTGCATGGAATGCGCCAACCGCATCTGCGAGCGCAGCGAGCCCGTCTGCCCCGTGTGCCACACGGCCGTCTCTCAGGCAATACGCATCTTTTCCTAGGACAGACCACGTGGGCTCAGAGAAACACGCGTGCACTCCGGCACGCCTATGTATGTATGTACGTATGTATGTATGGAAGGCTGCAGTATCCAAAAACAGAGCGCCCCCTAGGGGTGAGTGGTTATCTGTATCTTAATGTACTGTAGCTTCGGAGAAATATTTTCTGACATTATCTACTGCATGTTCTAAAAGCTTAGTAATTAATAGTTCTGGTAAGTCGTATGCTATACTGAAGCCAGACTGGGGGTGGCTGGGGTACTTATGCCGTGTCAGTCTCAGACTGTTTACATGACCGGCTGTCCAGTTTTACTGGTGGGACGTACTGGTGGGAAACGGTATTGGGTCATATGTATTCCTGCCACAGACCGTCACCGCCATGACTGAATGTACTGGCAGGGGTCCCCCACGGTCCCGGTGATTTCCGGGCTTTGGCGGGAATTAAAATCAGGATTATTGATCCGCGAGCATTACGATACTGCAGCTTCAGATTAGAATCAGGACGCCCTGCATATATATGTATATGAAAAAAATCCACAATTTTAAGGGTTTAAATGTTAATTACGATAATACAGATTTGAAGTATTTTATTCTTTTTCTTGACTTGAAAGATTATATTTCGTATTGCAAAGATGTTTACAGATATTTCGATTTGAGTTCAGTGAACTTTTTTGTAGCTAGGTTTAAAATATCTTTTATTTTTAGAATGGCCTTGTGGCAACGAACACTGTATTGTTTTATCACACGGCTGTGGGTTCGAGCCTGAACGTGTGTGTCACATTAAAACAGTATTCTGTTGGGATGGAGGTTTTATAAGTTTAGCAAAAAAGTCTTTTAAATCTGCCTCACCCAGCATATTTTTTAATTCCGTAATATAAAGCATATTTTATTCTATATTATTACAAAACATAAAATGTATAAAGTAAGTCAAACAAAAAGAACCATTTATGCTTTCTTACATTTGTATGACTCTGATCGCGGTGGGGAATTACAGAGTTCCGTGGCACCACTACAAGTTTTAGTATTTCTATTTTAATAAATTTGTTTACCACTTCTTTATGTATATGTAGGTGATGTTACTTTGACGTAAATGTACTTTATGGAGCAAAGTTTAAAGACAAAGTATATTTTATTTTCTGATAAAGGGCCTTTAACCTCATGGTCAAATACTAATATTATATTTGCTGAAACAAGATTTGAAAATGTATTGAGAGTTTTATTTTTCTGACATTTCAAAGTTTTTTCACAAGTTAACGTGAAACTTAAGTAAAAGGTGCTAATTCATGTTTTTTTAAGTGTTTCTATATAAGACCAATAAAATGGTATACAAAGCCGATGTCTGATTGGCTCATTCTGCCGCAGTGTTTGAGCCCGGAGCCTCTGGGGTGATGCTGACCGTGTTTGGCGGGAGACTAATGTCGCCTTCATCCTTTTTCATTAACCTACATGTTCACTAAGGTAATTCTGGGTAGCTGGACTGCTAGCCGCCCATTCTCCCACTGCGCCCCCTTCTGGTCAAATTGTAGACCCTGGCATTCCTGGTGCAGTGTGTTGCCTCCCCCTACTCCTGTTTGGTGTTCTCTTGCTTGGGGGTGCCTGCCTTTTTCACAGCTGTGCTGTAGGTGTCACCTGGGTAAAAGCCAGTGAATGCCGACTCCCAGACCATCCTGTTAGGTGGCATAGGTCTGCATGCAGGTTACTGCCAGACTGACATGGGCCAGACGCTGAGCTTCACAGTCATTTGGGGGGGGTAGGATCATCCAGATGGACTTTTCTTTTTTTTTCTTTCGCTGTACAGTCAGCAATGCGATTATCTGTCGGTTTATGACAGCATTAACCAAGATGGGTGTTTTACTGCAGTCTTAGGAAAAATCACTTGCAGGATACCTGGCTTGCAGACAGCTCTGTGCGCTGGTGGACTCGGTTACGACGGGAGGAGTGTGTGTGTGCGTGTTTTATGCAGTGTACCGGTGCAGAGTGGTTTTCTTGGAAAGTCTGAAATTCAAAACACATGCAGCAAAGCTAGATAGTAAATAGAGAAAATACACGCTTTAATGATAAGTTTAAAATGGAAATATCCAAAAATCAGTGTTCAGGGCCTGGCCCCATAAACCAAACTATTAGGAAACAATTCCAGTCCATAAAAAAAAAAAGCTGACGAGTGTTTTATTCAAATACAGAACACGTGCTTTCTCTCAGGTCATGGTGATTTAGCCTTTTTTAAGGGGGGATACGGGAACATGGGCTGGCTTTTAGAGAGGCCTAACTGATTGGATGTTTTTATTTTCTGCTGTCCTGTTATCGCCCATGAGTCTTTGTGGAACAGATTCAGGGAGGGAGGTGGCGCTTGATACTGTTTCTGTGCTCTGGGACATACAATGGGTGTCAGGGTTTAGGGGGGGGGTACAGTCTGTTTGGTTTAGTTCTGCTCCTGCTTAAACGCCCCACCACGTAGCCAAGCAGGTCATCTGCTGTCTGTATGTAAAGATACACCCTGTGCCCCCCCCACCAAACCAATACCGCTATAGAGGTCGGCGTTAGTGAATGGAACTCCAGCTGTTTACATACTGACTACACCACTAAGCCAGTACTTTACTATCATCACCTACCGCTCCTTTTTAACCCTTTAGTGTCTTTCCCCCAGACAAACAGGCATCAGGTGGAGTGTTTCTCATGAACCTAACTGCTGGAATCATTATTTCAGTTTCCGTTTCACAGCATTCTGTCACTGATTATTGCCATAAGAGTAACGGACCCTATTTCCGCTGTGATTTTAATATAAATTAATCTGAGGTGTCTTCCACTGCCCATGTAATTCTCCATCGTGCTGTAACAGCCAGTCCCGATCATACCCTGAATTAATAAAATACTGTCTTCCTGCAGTGCCGGCCCTTACCACCAGGTAGAGATGTGTGGGGGGAGGGGCTGGGCCATCACAGGGCTGGGGGGGGGCATAGCTCGGCGTTGATGGCGTGTTCTGTAGCAGTTTCATAGGAGCGTCCCTGATATGGTGACTTACGGCCCCTGTTTTTTCAATCAGAACTGAGGCTCCAGAATAATCCCCTAATCATACAAAAAAATGACCAAAAAGCTGAGCTACAATGAAGAGCGACTCACCCCTCTGCCATGGTGTACTGATATAAATTAATATATGATTATGAATGAATGATTGAATCTGACCACACAACGGTGTAGGTACACTGTCTCACAGCAGTGTCACCATCCCCAGTCCTCGAGGGCAGCTCTTTCCTTGGCTGCTTTAATTAGCATCTGATTTACACCTGAAACACTGGGTGGCTTGACCTGCCAAACTCAAAATTAGCTCAGAAAAAAGCCAGGAGCTGTGCTGGAGTGGAAACGTACATGCAGTGCTTCTCGAGGGCTTCAGACCGTCTGCTGTTGTTTCGTGGGGAGCAGGTCTGCACAGAGAAACCTGAGGGAACACCGCCTTCTTCAGAGGTCATGTGGTCCACCACCTCTCTAACCATGCCCACCGCCGCTCTGACCATGCCCACCGCCACTCTAACCATGCCATTTGCCTCCCTGACCACACCCTCCAAATCACTGACCACGTCCCCACCTCACTGACCACACCCCCTGTTTATCTGACCACGCCCACCACCCATCTGACCATGCCCTCTGCCTCTCTGACCATTCACATTCACTAATTATTTATCTCAAACCATGTTTTTATTGTATAGCTGTTTCTAGCCCTTTTGCAAAAGTTTGCACCTTCCAGATTAGATTACATATTGAATTTCGTTGTTGGAGCAGTTATAAAATTACAGTGCAATGGCAATTTAGTTGAATCCAATCTAAAAATGTCTACAATTTCCCTGCCCACACCCACTGTCTTTTGACCACACCCACCACCTCCCCAACCACACCCACTATCTACGTGACCACACCCACTATCTCCACCAACCACACCCATTATCTCATTGACCACACCCACCATCTCCCTAACCACACCCACTATCTACCTGGCCTCAACAATTTGCCTCCCTGGCCACACCCACCATCTTGCTAACCACACTCACTCCCTGACTACTCCTAACACCCCACTGACCTTTCCCACCCTGCCCACACCACCACCTGCTGGACCACTCCCGCCTAATCGCGCCTGTTGCCTCCCTGACCACGCCCACTCACTGTGCTCACCACTTTCCTTCCAGGATCCGGGGGGCTCAGGATTAGCAGAGTGAGAGCACTGTGCCCTGTCACTCCTCACCTTCTCTACTTAGCTGGGCTAAATACACTCTTCTGTCACATTATCTAAAACCTTTTGAGGTGCGCATGTGCAGTTGGGTCTGAAACTCAGTGAGTTTTTACATGCTAGCAGAATGGTGGCAGAGCTACTTACATGCAGCTTGCCATGGGAGAAGAAAGGTTTGCAGTGACCCTGCAGCACAGGGCCTGTCTTGTTAATTAGGTGGGTGAGGGGCCCCAGCACATTCTGGGATCAGATCCCACTTCTGGCAAACTTGTGGTCTTCTGGGATTCCACCAGCAGTCTGAAAACATGTAGTTAGGTATGGGTGCGGTGTCCAACTCTGCGGGTTAGGACTCTGATCAGAAGTTCACTGGTTTAAATCCCAGACTCAGCAGAATGATTTCACCATTGGGTCATTGAGCAAGAGCCTCAACCCCCAGTTCTATCTGACCTTGCTCTCAATTATATGTCATTTTGGAAATAAGTATCTGCTAATTAAACTGTGATTGTAAATTGCCTGTAGTATGAATGTGTGTGGATTACCAACCTGTCCTGGATGTTTCTGCCACTGATCTTCCTGACGTATAGGCGCTTCGCTCACCATAATGGAAAGTGGATGTTAGAAGGATGGTCTTCTATTGGTATTTTACATGGCAGGGGACAGAAAATGGTTGGATTGCCTCTGCTACATCCATCATCTGAAGATGCGGTCAAAGTGCAGAAAGGTAGAGTAAATACCTGAAGGAACAACGGACTAGAAGATACGTCATGATGCCACTAACATGGTGAACCTGGCTGGGAATTTTAGGCAGCACTCCTGAAGAGTGACTGACTCTCTGGACAGAGAGAGCATAATCATTCCAATAACAAAAAAAATAACAAATCTGCGGGTGATGATGTATATAAATATATACCCACCTGCTGCTTGTTGGCATTCAGCTCACAATACTCTGCGCTCGTGCCCCCATTTGTGTATAGTGATGCTCAGCTCAGCCTGTCAAGCGTCTTCTGTGTTTTATTTAGAAGCTACACCTTCAGGAATGGTCAGGCAAATACAATTAAACATGACAAAAACACAGATGCACGTCTATATATACATCTCGCGATTTTTTCCCCCCGGACCGCAAGTGAAATGTCCTTTTCGGTAGAATCTGGGCCCAGATTTCCCATCAGTGGACCCTGCAGGTGGCTCCGCCAAAGCTTGCTCGTTAAAGGCACTTTTTCATTACCTGCCGTTTTTCATCTGTCATTGTCAGAGTCAGAATAACACACATCCTAACTTGGGCATATTGATTTCAGAGAGGTGGACGAGGGACAACCAGTAGGGGGTGTGCTGGCTAGACTTGGGCGGTATTACGGTAATACTGTGTATCGTGTTCTTTTCATGTGAAATTATCCCCCGCAACGCCTGGCAAATTTTACAGGGTCGCCAACTTCGGTCTGGGGCTGGCATGAGATTTTCACTTCGAGACAAGTCTGCACTCACATACACACACATTTACATGTATGTAACAGTTTTATTACCTTGTAAATATAGTCTGTAGGGTTTGCAACCTACCCCAACGCTTTTGATGTAACTAATTTTAGGTTTATAATGGAATTATATGGAACCCTGATTTTATGGAGCTAATAGCGCTGGTTTTTAAAATATCGTCAGAATACCATATACCACGGTATAATGTCTGGATGGCATGACATTATTAAAATGCCAGATTACCGGGACATTTCGCATCACTCGCATATGTCTGTCAGCTGCTATCGATCTGGGGGATATTCCCGGAACTTCGGGGGGAAGCGGGATAATCCTTTGCTGAGGTTGATGTGAGCTGGACCGAGGAGACCCTCAC